GTTCTGTCACGCCAGCTCCTCAATTTATTGGGAATGTGACTTACCTAGGCTAGCCACCTAATCTTTCTGAGCTGCTAAAAGTGGATGATAAATGTATCTTCCTACCGGGTTCTCTGGATGAATTAATGAAATAGAATAGGTAAAACAAACAAGCTTAGCATAGTGCTTAACACAGAGTAAGCATTTAATAAAAGCTGGCTGCTATTATTATTAAATGATTATTTTCTATCTTTGTTACCCTTGGCCTTAGGCCCTTGATCTTCCCCTTTCACACTATATTCTTTCCATAAGCAAACCTGTCCACAATGGGTTTCAATTAATATCACAACAATAATGACTCACAAATTCATATTTCAGGTTCAGATGCCTCTTCAGAGCTTCAGACCCATATATTCAAATACCTCCTTAACATGTCCCCTTGGCCACATCAAAGACAACTCTAACTTCGTAAGTCCAATAAGATGGCACTCATGATCTGCCCCCTTGGACATGTCATCCCTCACTCTTCTTTATCTCCAGCCAACACACCAATCGCGAAAGCCAGATATAGATATCCTCTGTAACATCCTTAGAAATTCTCTCATCTCTTTCTAAATTCTCTCTTCTCTACAAACATACCCCCGATTTAAAATGTATCACCTCTCTTGAAAAAACCTCCTAACTAGTTTACTCCCTCCAAACTACTCTCCAAGCATCAACCCTGAGGCCTTCTAATCATTCAAAATACTGTAGGTTAGTTAAAAGTACACTGTAATTATACCTCCTATAATGCCTTAATATATAGAATTAAACAGACCTGAGATGATACTAAGACCATGAAGTGAAATCTCTCTGCAGGCCTAAAATTATTCTCTAGCTGTCTAAAGTTTGGTAAATTATTTAGCTTCTCCAAGCCTCAATTTCTGTATCTGCAGAATGGAGGCAATAGCACTTGACTTCCTATACTGTTATCAAGAGTACATTAATAATGGGAATAAAAAGCTTAAAAGCTTAATTCAGTGCTTGCTACTTACTGAGAACTAAATAAATGTTAGCTAGTAAACCAAGCTGAGTATAACTTTCCCATTGCCTCAGTTCTGGTCCTTATCTCTTGCACAGCCTATTTTAATATACCCCTAACTGGTCTCACCCACCTCCAAATGCCCACAGCCCAAACAAAGCATATTGCAGGCTTCAAGAAAAGTCAGGTAAATCTGGTCTTCTTTAGTATTTTAGGATTAAACTAAAGATCAGGTCCAAACCTCTTTGAGTTTGGCATACCATCCAGCCCCTGCTTACCTTCCTCATTTCTTCCAGTCATTTCCCCCAATGTGCATCAGATTCAGACCCATCAGGATACTCGAATTTACTATACTACCACTTCTATTGCGCCAGCTCCTTTCAACTTGGTTTTCTTCTGTCTGCGATGCTTATGTCTGCACTAATTATCAAATTACCAGTTATCTAGATTTTAAAGAAGAGGAAACTGCAGCTCAAAGAAGTGAAATGATTGGCCAGGATCACACAGGTGGGTGACTGGCCAAGGCAAGGGTTCCTTTTTTTTTTTTTAGATTTTATTTATTTGAGAGAGAACGAGAGAGAGAGAGAGAGAGAGAAAGAGAGAGGGAGGGAGGGAGGGAGGTAGAGCACGAGCATGCACAGGCAGGGGGGAGCAGCAGGCAGAGGGAGAGGGAGAAGCAAGCTCCCCGCTGAGCAGGGAGCCCGACAAGGGGCTCGATCCCAGGACCCAGGGATCATGACCTGAGCCGAAAGCAGACCTTTAACCGACTGAGCCACCCAGGCGCCCCTCAAGGTATGTGTTCTTAGCACTATATTAGCACTTCTCAGACTTTTCCAATGAGCAGTCCTGTTGAGAGAAGAATGTAACTCCCATCCTAGAGGTCAAGGAAAGCATAGACCCAAGACTCTGACCAGCTTGGAATACCATGCTTTAACTTCAAGTAAAATGAATCATTTTCAAAGTCAAAAACTTTGAACAAGTTGAGGACATACAGCCTCTCACATTGAGAGCTCCCTGTGCGTTAAACTGAAACTATAAATCCAAGTTTGTATGTTCTGTGGCTATAAATCACTCCAAAAACCTATGGTCAGCCTTCATTTTCATCACTATTCAGAAAGATATAATTAAAGACAGTATCATACAAACGGCTGCAGATACTATTACTTTCTTACAATAAAATCAATCATAGAGTGTTTAGGAAGAGGAGAAAGACTGCCCTAAGGACTCTCCCTAGATCCCTAACATAAGAAAGGCTGAAGACAAAAGGAAATCCAGGGACAAACTTGAGTTTTCTTAGGATAACTCACTTCTGCAGAGTAAGGTTTCTCAACCAGGGCACCAACTGAAAACTTAGGCTAGATCATTCTTTGTTATGGAGAGCTGTCCTGTGCATTGTGGGCTCTTTGCGGTCTACCTACTAGATACCAACAGCATTCCACCCCCAGTTGTGACAAGCAAAAATCTCCAGACTTTGCCAAATGTCCTCCAAGGGTAAAACCACTCCCACTTGAGTACTCCAGAGTGTACAGAGATATACATTTGGTATATCCTTGTACTGAGAAGTAAACATCAGGAGAGCTCAAGTCTCTGATTCTAGACAGGAAAATCGTGGGAGAAAGTAAGAGACCTCTCCCTATTTGCACAGGGCACCAGGATTAAAGAAGAAAGTATCTGTGGTTTCGCAATGCTAATTTTCCATAAGGAAGTCAACTGAGTGGGATCTGACTTAAATTCCTTAATAAAAAATCCAGGTGAGGCTTCAAAAACAACCAGACATTTAAGACTGTATTCTGGGTGCTGCAGGACAAGAGGGAAGAAAAGAATCCAGGGCTGGTTTCTACTTAGATGACAATATTTGGCCTCTAGTCTAACAACACAGTGATAGAAGGAGGCAGCTCAACATCACACCACGTTACTTTGACACTGTGTAAATGAACATAACCTCCTCTACTCCAGCAGAAGTTCAACACTAAACATATACATGTGAACATTCAAACAATCACGAGAAAACAAAAAGTTATTTTACATAAAGGCAAAGCCTTCAACATCTGCAATTCTGAAAGCCTAGCTTTTATGTTTAATAAGATGCAGCTTACCACCCTTGGCAGCTATTCCCTCAGCATTTGTTAATAAGTGAGAAAACAAATGCAGAATCCTGTGGAGGTTACCCAAAGCAAAAGGTTTGGTAGGGTGGGGGTGGAGTTCACATGTGAACACACATACACACACTTCCATGTTTTTGGTACTTAAGAATATTTTTGTTTTTACCCTTAAAAAAAAAAATTCAACTCTGTTTGATATATTTCATTATTATTGCTTTTTAAACTTCTACAATTTTATGTTTTCCCCCAGGAAATTATACTATAAATTTGAAGTAGCCTCCTAAAGATCTAGCTAAAATGAATTAGATAGTTTATGTAAACTACGGAGTGTCATGAGCCTCAGATTTCCCATCTGTAAATTGGCATAAATAAAATTTACTTCTTAAAGTTGCTGTGGTGATCAAATGAAGTCCTGTGTGGCCATTGTCTGGGTGCCTAAAATACACTCAAGAAATGGTTACCATTTCTACTGTTTTAACTATTCTCCATCAGCTTCTCTGAAACTCCTGTTCCTTCCACAAACTGAAAAGAACACGTGTTTTGGAGAAAGAAAATATTTTAGAAGCACATCTTAACACCTATGCAAACACAAGGTAAGTATTATTTGTGATGATAAAGTAGGGTAGGGCAAAAGAAAAATAAATGTTTGGTGTTTCGTTTGAAAATTCTCCTGTCAATTACAGGTGATTGCCAGCACCTCATGATATGAAGCCAATGTTCCTTCCCCTGCAAGAAAAAATTTTTTAAGGAAATAAAAAAAAAAGTAAGAAAAAAATGACAGAAAGAGGACAAAAAAAGAACCAAAGCAATAATATGACAGACCAGAGGGAGGGTTACACAAAATAAGTAAATTCTATAATGACAATATTCTCCCAACTCTTCCAATAACAACAGTAAAAGGTCAGATACCTTCCAAAGAAGCTGGGGTTTAGATTTCACTGTTTATCTAATTAACAGAATTCCACTGGAAACAATTTTTCTTCCCAGTAGCCAAAACCTACTGTCAGGTGAGTTAACACTATAACTCATAAAGTATTGCTACACTATGCTAAGCCCTTCCTCTGGAATTATAACTTTTTTTTTTTAAGTTTTATTCATTCAACAGCAGCTCCCCTAAAATGAATTTTAAAAGTATTAATAACAAATTCAAAATTCTGGATTTATCTAAGAAAATGTCAGTTCCTTCCCCCAGAAACCTACCCAAATAAAAGGCAAAGGTTCTTCAATTCTCATTCTCTGGAGAAAATACCAGGTAGACGGCCGAAATGAAGTTGCTGGGAAATATACTTCCAAACACTTCTTTAAAGAGCCCCCAAAATACATGCCATTAAGAGATCATTCTACAGCTAAAGTAAATCATGAGCATATCCCCCACAAATGCTCTGCATATTAACAGCTCCCCAACAAGACTTCCACAGTTCTTGGCCCTCAATTAGCTCCTGGTAGGTCCGGCAGAAAACGTGTATTCCATAGTCACAACCCTTCCAGCAATTACATCAAGGAGGGCTAGAAGGCCATGGGGTAGGTTCTAGTCCAACCCCTTCGTTTTAGAAAAGGGCCTGCGGTGAGGAATGAAGTTAACTTTCAGAGCCTTTTGGTATCAAGGCCCACCCAGAACCGAGAGCTCCAGCTCCCAGGTACAAGCACGAACACATAGCCCGGGAGGGGCCAGAAGGGCAAAGGCTCCGAATCAGACAACCGGCAACCTCACCCATCTCACCCGCCAGCTGTTTGTACGACCTTGAGCACCTAAACTTCGCCTCTCAATTTCCACATCTGCAAAATGGGACTCAGGACCCCACGACCTGGGGCTGTCGGAGGTGTCAAGGCGCTGGGAACTCGCTCCGAGGCTCCCCCGCTCATCCGCTCCCAGCGCGCCCGGCGCTCGTGGCACCCACCTGCACGTTAGGGAAGGCGGTCTTGAGCAGGTAGAACATCTTGCGGTTGGACAGCACGTCCCCGCTGGTCATCTTGTCCTCGGCTCCCTCACGCGTCTTCCCCTTGGACTTCTCGTGGAGGACATTGCTCTCGCGGACGCGCCTCACTTCGTCGCCGCCGCGAACAGCGGCCAACACCGACACGGCCAGCATCTCGCGGAGGTCCACCGTGCCTCCATCGGCCGCGGCTGCGGGCCCCGCCGCCCCGTCGCCGCCTGGCTCGCCGCCGAGGCCGAAGAGGCTGAAGCGGCCGGCCAGAAAGCCCGAGTACAGGTGGTAGAGCACGCCGAGCCCCAGCAGGCAGAACACGGCCACCCCCAGCGGGGACAGGCGGATGCCCATAGGGGCCATGGCGCGGGAGGCCGGGGCTCGGGGCGACGGCCCTCACAGGCCTCCCCGCGCCCGCCGCCGCCGCCTCGCTCCCGGGCCGGCCGCCGCGCGTCCTACACCGGCGTCCGCTCGCCGGAGCCCGCGCGCCCCATTGCTCCCTCCAGGGAAAGGCCGAGCCGCGCCGAGAAGCCCACCGTTGCCGTGCCGCGCGCCCAACTGCCCCCGGCAGCGCGGTCCCGGCTTCTTAGCTGGCCAGCGGGTCTCACTTCCACGTTAGCCAACGGCTAGGAGGTGAAAGGGGAGCGTGGGTGTGTATCCGGGTTACGTGGGGGGCGGGGCGGGGTGGGGCGATATAGGCTCCGCCCTCGGGGCGGGGTGACCGTGGGGGCGGGGCGGCGGGCTGCGGGCCCGGGGAGCCGCCGGATTGCTGCTCTTCTAGTCAGGATGGAGCAGTGTTTGGGTTTTTGAATCATTCTTGATTGTGACGGGGCAATTTTCCATGCAGGGAAGGTGCTGAGTGACTCGTGCAATTTTAAATTAAAACTCTTCGAACGAAGATGTGTGGCTGACATAAGGTCTAGCCTTTATTTTAGTCTAGACGTCCCATCACTCTCAAGTTATTGACCAACGGAGGAAATTACAAGCCTTTTCCAGAGAGATTGGTATGCTTTTTTCTCCGGCGCTTGTGTAGGTGGACAGAGCCGGTAGCTTTAAATCGTTTCTCTGCCCTGGGAGAGGTGGGCAGTGAACGGTACTGGAGAATTTCACTTGGCTCTTTGGTGTATTGGTCTCTCTGTGGTTATCTAAATGTGCATGCATTTACATCTGTATGTTTATATAGATTTTTCCCTATACTTCCATCTGCCAGAATATAAACCATCCTTTATGCGACTGAAAAACATGGCTTGATTCTGGACTTTCATAATGAAAGAAAACGCTCGGAGCTTCTCTCATTTCTTTTTTTTTTTTTTTTAGGATACTTTACACGTACTTTACACGAAGATGAAAGGTCTGCGAAAGCCCATTTGATATAAAGATTATCACAGGATGGTCAGTCAATCTAGAATACGTAACCTTTGAGTCAATATAGGCCCTCCAAATGTACTTGCAGAAGCCTGTAACGGATATAACTGCCTTCTATGCCACTTAAATTAGCAGTCATAGTGAATACTTCCTAAATTTTAGTAAGTATTATAATAAGCATTAAATTTATTTTCCATCTCACAGTGAATATTAAGATGTGCAGTATCATTCTCAAGTGTTAGAATATTTATATAAAATCAACTTAAAATGCAGCCTACTTTACAGTTCATAGCCAAAAATCAGTGGTTTTAAGTGGGCTTTAATAAACATTAATGACCTTAAAAACTGCAAGTATACAGAATAGATTCTGAATATCCTTTGCTAAGCAAGTCCTTAGAGACAGGCTGACCTTCACCACTTCCTTAGAGTTCAGAACATCTGTAGAATTGCGTATGGTTATATAGATGCAATAAACAAAGACTATTGATTGCTTGGTTTCCCTGGCAGCAATCTGTAACTTAAAAATAATCACAGTACAAAATCCAGTACAAATACAGATTAATGAAAGAACAATCTCTGGAGTGTTGTCAGAACCAGATCTTAAGGAACTGGCACTGTTCTTGTCAGCTTTTGAGAACAAATTCACAATTAAGCAAAGCTGCTTTCAAAAGAAATCTGAAAGTGAAGGTCACAGGATAATTATGGCTACCAAATCCAGAGATGAATATAAAGATCAGCATTGAAGTAGAAAGGCTTAAGTTCAACAGAACCACCTCAAACTATACTGAGATCAGCAAAAGATACGGGTTGGGGAGTAGTTGTGAAAATATTAAAAGCATCATTAGAAAGTATGGATGAGGTTTGAAAAAATAAACTGAATAATATTTTCCAAGGATTTTGGAAAGGACTATCGGGCCCCATTCATTGTGGCATTATACAAAGCACCAGTGAGACACCCAGAGAGATACTGAAAGCTCTAGCATTTATATGGCAGGAAAGGGATTAAAGAATCAAAGGAGAAGATGCCCTGAAACAAATGAGTGAGGTTAAAGATCATAGTTCCAATAAATAAATAAATAAATAAATAATAAAAATCATAGTTCCAAAAGGAGCTCTAGTACCCAGGTGACCACAAGGAATGAGTAATAGATATTGATAAAATATAACATGTAATCATTTAGAGAAACTGTGATGAAGAGAAAATGTAATTAATTACATGTAGGACAGTGATGTTGTCTTAGAACCCTCACAGGAATTTGATTGCAAGAAACTTGCTTTTTCAGTAACAAGTTGTCAGAGGCTCTAAAGAATGCATACATACTGGGGGGGCTGGGTGCAGTTGGTGAAGCATCTGACTTTAGGTTTCTGCTCAGGTCACGATCTCAGGGTCCTGAGATCAAGCCCAGCCCCGTGTCGGAGTCCCTGCTCAGTACAGAGTCTACTTGAAGTCTGCTTGAGATTCTCTCTCCCTCTGCCCCTCCTGCTCACTCTCTCTCTCTCTCCAAAACAACAACAAAAAGAATGCTACATACCAATGAAAATTATATGAAAGTAAATGTAAACTAATAGGTTTGTGAACTGAGGCAAAAGACTTTCAAAAATAACCTTTTTTCTAGGTGTTGAAGAAGATGAGGGCCACCTATATTCTGTATAAATATGAATAGCAGCAAGAATTGACACACAGTAGAAACTTCTTTAACTACTTTCCATTTCACTGGCTTGGCAGACTCCCTGCTTGCCGCCATCTGCGTGTTTACACCTAGTAAATGCCACCTTTTGGAGCACTGTCCCCTTTCACTACCACTACTAGAACTTTAAATACTTCTTAAGAGTTAGTTTTGTTTATTTAAATGTCATTTTGTCATTGTGGTTATTATTATAAATACATATAAGTTAAATGTTATGTAAAAGTCAAATATGAGTATAAGTATAAAGCTGAGACCTTTGAATGACTTGATGGGGTGAGTCGTTAAAAACAAAAATTACTATCAAATTAAGTGTTGGAGCAAAAATTGTATCTGATTGTGAAGAAAAGGGATCATAAAAGCTCAAACAAATGCTGAAATCAGATTGCTTGACTTTAAGGAAACCAAACTGCTCATCTTAGATAATGCATTACTCATGTGTTTGAAAGTGCAACTAATGAGTATACTCAAAGAAAACCCTTTGCCTTATATTAAAAGATAGACAAATGATTATATATTTAGATATTTACATCTACAACCCACTCCTATCTTGATTATATCAGACAAAGGACCTCACCTTAAAGTCCGGATGTTGCTAACTTCCTACAAATACCACCTTTCTTTATGCTCTCCATTATGTGTGAAATAAATAATACCCATTTATAGAACATTATTAAGAACTTAAATGATGAGGATATTTTGATTTGTCCGAATGAGTCCTGACCCCAGAGTTTATCTTGGAGAAACCGTGTGTGTGTGTGTGTGTGTGTGCGCGCGCGCGCGTGTGTGTGTGCGTGTGCGTGCATGTGCGTGTGCGTGCATGTGCGTGTGTGTGCGCGCGCGCGCGTGTGTGTGTGCGTGTGCGTGCATGTGCGTGTATGTGTGTGAAATCTCTGCCAGCTAGTTTTCTTGTATGATTTTTCTTTTGAAAGAGGATTTAAGGGGGACAATGAAATTAATTAAGTGTTCAGGCTAGTCAAACCCTAGGGAAAAGTGGTTTTAATACTTTTCTGAGAAAGCAAGAAAAAACGATGAACTGATGGCATTTCTTCATGTTTAAAATATTCCAAGAAGAATATTATTTGTATATTCTTACTTTAAATGATTTGAGCCTATAAAAACAATAATTCTATTTTGTAATAGACCCAGTGATATGGTGCTTGGTTCTGCCATTAAAGTTCTCTCTTTAGCAGATCATATGCTTCTTGGGACAATGGCTTTCATATGTTAAGATTACATATGCCTGTTTCTAAAACATGATCTATATCCATTCTTGAAATTGATTTTCCCAAAGATTTAGAAATCCTCAATTTAAATGGGTAAATTTTTCAATTAATATAAAATAATGTGTTAGCACCGTAACCTTCTACTGTGGCTCTGATCTTAGCAATAATAACAGCAAATACTTATTTTAAATAGAGGCAACATGGTAGGTATATAAAATAGAAAATTACATATAATTTCTACCCTTTGAAATTGTAATCACTCTAATCCATATGATCCACATGAAGTCAGGTAGGTATTTTACACATCTTTCTATCCTCTTGACCTTTTGCATATATGAATTCAGTAGGTATTTATGAAAGTGGACTTTTAAAGACTGGTGGTTGTTTTTTTTAAGATTTTATTTATTTATTTGACAGAGAGAGACACAGTGAGAGAGGGAACACAAGCAGGGGGAGTGGGAGAGGGAGAAGCAGGCTCCCCGCTGAGCAGGGAGCCCGATGCGGGGCTTGATCCCAGGACCCTGGGATCATGACCTGAGCCGAAGGCAGATGCTCAATGACTGAGCCACCCAGGCGCCCCTAAAAACTAGTTTTAATGAAATTTTGTCTATTGTGTAAAGTGTTTTTAAAAATCTTGAATTTAACAAATACATTAAGGAACATTCATTTTGTCTGTCCAGAACTTTCATTTCATAGGCATACAAGTCCGAGGAAATAAATATTTGCTTTGGAGCTGTTAAGATGTCAAACATTTGTTAATTTATGTGTGTGCTCCTTATTAAATCCAATGCTTGGCAATCATCAATTCAGTTAGTAATGTAAATTTTCCCATACTATACTTTATTCCCTGAGTGGTCCAAACTCATACTACACATTTTGCCCACTATCTGCAACTGGAGGTAAAATTTATCTTCTTAAAACTTCATTTAGTTAAAAAAAAAAAAAGCCCACAATATAGTATCTAAAATTTCCTAGTCTCCAAAAATAGCAATTGTGTTTATCAATCACGATTAAAATATGTAGTTTATGGCATTGTGTTTATGATTTATATTATAGAAGAACCCCAACATAATACATGTTGCTATTGCACAGTTCTGGGTAAAATGCAAGCCAAGTCATGTCGCCCAGAATGTAAGAACTCAGTATATTTAATAATATCTTAGCCGATGTGTCTCAAACTTATTGTCAATGAAAAAAAGGTGAAAAAAAAATGTTTTTTAAAAAAAATTTCCCTAAACAATGCTTATCCTACTACATGAAATATTCTTCTGTGTGTTTGAATCCCCTAAATTGATTTCATGATTCTATTAGTGAGTCACTGTTTAGAGACAGTTGTCTGTGAGTCTCTGTT